GGGGGGGGGGGGGGAGAGAAAATGAAAGGTTACTTTAGTTCATATGGTTTGTGCTCCTGGAGGAGGGGAGGAAGGGGAGGCTGCTGATTGCACAACTACTCAATAAAATAGCAGGCCAAATTACCTTCTAGGATCAGACGCAGTGTTTGAGTGATCTCAAACCTGCCCTGGTGTAGCTTATATGACTAACACAGCAGGAAAACAATAGGGATTTGATACACAGGTCCACCCATGGTCATAAGCTTTAAATCAGACATCATTAAGTGACCAAAACAGCAATACTTTATCTCCGAAATACTGCCATGGGGTGGCCATTCCTGTATATGTAAAGTTTCTTTATATGTTCCTCCCCAGCATGCTAGATTAATGTGATGCACTGGTCATTATGTTTTTTTTTTGTTAAGTCCATTGAGAACTGAGCCACCTTGCATTCAAAATCCTGCTTCTAAGACTTCTGGAAAAACTCAAAAGTGAGGCACTGGCTCTCTGCATGATTAAGATCTGATTAAAGAGAAGATCTAAAATGAGTAAGGGCTGGCCAAGAATGCAGACACCCTGTTGTTTCATGCCACTCTACACTCACTCAGAGCTTCCGCTGTGGCTTTGGTACATGTTCAGAACCAGAAGTTGGACTTTTTATTTTCAACTGTGCTCCCAAACTGTGGAATTTCATTTCCAAATATGTCAGGGAACACCTTTTTTTCATCACTCTTATTGGTGTCGTTATTCTACACTTTAAGCTAGATTATTTATATAAACAGAGCTATGCAACAGTAACTTAATCATTATACACTATATTCTGAGTGAGTTTGTATGAGTGTGTCAGTCTCATCTTAAACAACTTAGGGCACTTTCAGTCTTTTTCTTTTTCTGAAGTTTGATCGGATACACACACACACACACACACACACACACACACACACACATCCATTTAAGATTTCATCTAAGTCTTCCAGATGTACGTTGCATGAGAGGAATTTTTCCATGGAGGCAAGACTGGGGGCAAGGTGTATAATGTAAACTGATGCACTCCTCTTATCTCCATTACGTACTTTGCTTGGCCTTCATAAAACAAATGGAGACATAAATAAACACTAAAGCTAGTCTTGTGACCAAAATGTCTTTGTGTGTGTGTATGGTGTGTCTAGCTATACCACTAAAGGTCGCACGGGTGCCAAGTAGAGGAGACAACACTGGCAACACTCCCGGACTAGCCAATATTATAACTGTTTATCAGGCCACTGGTAGCTACTTAGGCACAGGACACAGGAAAACACAACATATTTCTGTTGTACTGTCAGGATTCAAAGATGTTTCCAAGCACCACCACTACACAGATAGGGCCTATCTATTATTTAATAAAATGCAGTGAAAGAACACTTTGCCTAAGATCCAGTCCAATAATGTTACTGCTCAATGAGCCATGACCACAAAGATTGTTATCTGCTGGGGAAAAAACTCAAAACGTATGTAGATTGCCAGAGTCTAGCAGGGGATTTGAGGCTGAATACAGATTCCAGGGAGGGAGGTGGAAGGAAGTTAGAGATTCTCATAACCTTTGGCCTTATTCATGCTGAATTTGAGCCATACTGCAGTTTCCTTTTCAATTGTTCATGTAAACTTACTGTATCGACACAATTAGAAGGGTAGCAAGGAGGAGAGAGACAAGACTGACCAGCACACCGAGTACATGGGAAGCACAAAGTGTACAGAGCTATTCAAAGTGTATTTCATTGTATCATTAGCTGGACTGAAATCTTCAACAAATTACAAAAGAAAAAGGAATTACAAATAGGCCAAGTGCCTCAGTTTAGTTCAATAACACTCAATAAAAAAACTCATCTTAGCTGACTTGGACTTTAATCTAAATTATAATAATGTCTCCTGAATATTATTGCTTGTGTCAAATCACCCACCATTACTGCTGTAATATCTGATGTCTGATCTAATACATGACTCCCTATCCCATTAAACTAAATTGCATTAAATTGTTTCATCAAGGCTGCCTACTTGCCTGGTGGAATTCATAAACTGTTCTACAGCGGGGTATAATGGTTTCATTTCTCTAAGGCTCAGCTTAGTTCTCCTGTTCAATGTATTGTACCTTAATGGGACTGTCTGGGTTTTTGTCTACAGGGAAACTGAAGGGGACATTAGCGACGGTTATGAGACTTGTCTGTTGACAGAACAGAACATAATGCCTCATTTGGAAGGCAAACGAAATGAATCATTGTGTTATCGTGTTATTGTCTGAATGATCACATTATAAATGAAGGCTGTAAAAGTGCTGTGACACATACAGCTGACACCTGCCTCTGTCCCCTGTTAAAGAATAATACGGTTAATGATTGACTGTTTCTGCATGGTCACCGACAAGCAAAAGGATGGAATGATTCCCTTGTACAAAGGGGCCTGGTATCCAAACCCGAAGAGAAACAATAGTACCAAATAAACAGTTCCTACAAATGATTTTGTTATTTTGAACTACAGATTTCAAAGGCTTTTCCAGCTGTGTTAAACTACAAATCCATGTACTTTTTCAAGCTAGCGCAAATAATACAGAATCGCTTGAAAATAAGACCTATTTTGCATCAATGAGTGATGACTATCCATAAATCTTTCCTAATTTACACACGTTTGTAATTGGCCAAACTATCAGCAACTTATTCGACCCCGAACTGTAGTCCAGCCGTCCAGGAAGGAACAAGCAGCTGTTAGGCACTAATGCTTCTGCACCAACCACGAAGACAACAAAAGCACTGCATTGAAGCATTGAATAACACCCAACCAGGACGAACATCTATTCAACCATTCTGGCTCATATTCTAGCCGAGTGTCGTAAACATACAGTATAAAAGAGCTGTAAACTCCTGTGTGCTCAATTTGGCAGAGGGGAACTGTAACATAAGTATGTTCCTGGCAGGAGCAGCTGGCATGCGAGTCATATGACAATGTTATTTCTATGTAGCATCACACAACCCTGTTTCCCTCCTTACAGCTGCTTTAACTCCAAGGATAACTTGAGGTCAGTTGCGGACACGTGGTATAGTACAGCACAGTACAAAATATGCACACGAATCAAAACCTAGAAGAATAATACACTTGACCTCAGCTGAACCATGCATATTTGCTGTGTTGTGGTTAAGTTTTTGAAGTTAGTGAGTAATACTGAGCTTTGGGGACAAGGGACAAAAGTCTGTCCTCAGCTATTATAATATCAGTAGAGCCTTAGGCAAAGTGAAGCTCCCACTGTATCTCTGGGCTACAGCAGGCACCTACCAGCCAGTGCAAAGTCCACATTAGTTAAGGACAGCACGTGCACACAGAGTATAGGCTCTGAGTGTCTGGTGCTAGATCACTGGCAAAGGGCAAAAGTTTATAAATCATTTTGAGAGCACAGCGGTCTGTTCACCAGATGCCGTGGAGTGTGGCAATGTTTATCAAAACCTAGTTTAGAGTCAGAAATAAAAAGGTAAGCCTAAATATAGCTGCATTTAAGTAGATGCAATAATAGAGTTATAGCACTATCTAATGGGGTGATGCCTTTTCACAACATATCTGACCTCTGAGCAGGAACAGAAGGTGCACCCGCATACTCTAAACCCTCTGATATCTCACATTGTGGAACTTTTTTCAATTATTACAACGTACCTTTTTACATGTGAATCAAAATAACAGATTATACGATACTCTGCGACCACTGTATACAACAATAAGGCAACTTAAAAGTAAAATGATGATGATTAATACACTTTTGTTTGCTTACCCAGTTTTTTTTTTTATGTAAAATTACATTGGAAGGAGACAAATGTGTGACCTACTATTTGCTGTACCAATGTTTTTTCTCAGTACATGCCATTTCCTGCAATAGCGGGTAAAAGGCTTCAGGCAACCCAAAGGACCTGCACAGCATCTTCATCACTAAGGCAACCAGTTTGTATGGCAAGCATTCCTCCGCACAGGCTGAACGCAAAGCAGTCCCACCGGCTGCACATCAGTGTTTACCACAGGGCCAAGTTACACCACACCATCTTGCATAGCCCCTGCAAATGGAGTAAAAATTCATAGCAGCTGTCAAAGTAAGAGGATGCTAGAAAGGGTTAAATTATTCATGTAGCTATCATATTTTTTATTTTTTATTTTTTTGTCAAAATGGTCAACTTCTTGCAGTGGCACTTGGGTCAATTATATGGGATAGGCTAAAAACAACAGAGTCTATGTAAAGCACAGCTACAGCAGAGAAGATGAAAAGAAAAGGCAGCCACAGCAGAGCACTGCTCGGCGCATGCGTTGCTGGAGGGGACAGGAAAGGGAAAAACAGACAAAAAAGGTCGTCACATGACAGGTTTTTCTTTTAGTCAGGGGCTGCCTTTGGAAATGTGTGGAAACGTCCTTCTGTGCGCGGAATATCGAGGTGTGACAGCGTGAACAGTTGCGGCTGAAGCGTGTCAACATGTACAAGGAACACGACCAGCCTGAATATAAAAGTTCCTGCTTTGAGTCTCCAGCACACACAGATGCACATTATCAAACAAAACGAGGCATTATGAAATATATAAGGCGCTGACAACAACGACGCGGCTGTCCGAGGGCACCTGGCTGGACATTTTCAATTTGTCGAACATCCCTTTCTTATTAATTGCTCCTTAAATGGTCACCTAAAGAGCCTAAAGAGCATGCGCTGGCCTTCGGAGACAAAGTTTGACATGCTACGCTATGCATAATAACGCAAATGAAGCACTAAACGTCGAAACAGTGACTCGAGGCAGTCCACACTGAGCATATGATGATATAAACATGAATACTGGTGGATTGTTTCATCTTCGGAAGTGTTAATATGAAGAAACATTTAGCTCAACTAGCTATCAGTACTGTTTTAATGTGTGAAACATCAACCCTGGTTTGACGCACATACTCACCACTGTTACCGGAGAAACCATTTCTCCCTCGCTGGTGTCTCGTGTCTATTTAAAAAAAAAAAAAAATTATATAATATCAAAACTCGGGTGTTGAGGTCCTCCTTTGTATGGTTTTTTTGGGGTTTAATACTGTAAGAAGGGATGCCCGTTGTTTTTGTTCCTTGCCTCCAGTTGGGCGGTCCGACGTCCAGGAAGGCGGGGGGCGGGGCCCTTTCTCTGTTGCCAATAGGAGCCAGAGGATTTGTCGTGGGGGCGGACCCGCGGCGTCACGGTGGGAGGAGTCCCAGTCTGCTGTTTTACCATACTCGGCCGGAGCAGATGGGCCTTTTATTTACAATTTTGTATCCGTTTGTTTCGAGGAGCCTTTTTTTTTGATTGGGCCTTTGTTGATGGTTGGATTGGGCGTTAGAAATGAGACCAAAAGCCCCTGACGAAAACATCTGTTTTATTATAATAATTAATTGTTAGGCTGTGTGAGAATAGGAAGAGAATAAAACTTTATTGTCCCCGAGGGGAAGTTTGTTTCGGCACAGTGCTACAATCTGTTTGTCTTCACAATGAACAAACAAATCCAAGAAACCCCATCACAAATCAACATGAAACATCTTAAAACATGAAAGACACTGACAATTATGGCCAGCTTAAAAGAGACTGTAAGAAACCCTATTAAATTTAAAGTCTACGGTGCTGGTTTGTTTATTACACCAATTGCCCTAAATTGCACTGTGTTTAGTATTAGAGTTAAAGCAGCTTGATAACCAATAAATTCAGAATTAACAGAAATACAGTTGAACAGAATTTACTGAAGTTTGCATTCATCATTGGATACGATTGTTTCCTTTCTTCTTCCCGTCTTTTTCTTCCAGTATAACCTTCTGTTCTGTCCCTCTGTCTCTTAGCTTCCTTTTTGTGTTGGCTGCCTGTATTTCAAATGAATAAATAAGTAGGCTTGTGCTTGTAAGATAATCTTTTTGTGCCATTCTGACATAAATAATAGGGGTATAAACACAGGCGTTAAAAATTAAGTCAGGGCCTTCTTTTATTGAGCATGTTGGCCTCACTGGAAAGACTGCTACACTAATGTAAAGAAGCCTTAATTATTAATTAATAATCAAAAATGGTCCGCTGTTGAAAAAAAGTCCATTGTATAGTCAGTGTATCCTTGAACTTTTTCAAAATAATTAAGTTGTATTAAGACAAGGACAGTGTATAAGATAGAATATTAATTAAATATGTAAGAACACTAAAATGTACAGTTCTTACAATGCTGGGCTGGACCCTTTATACCAAGAACACCATATTTCATTAGAAACGTAATTAATGTGTTTTAATCAGCCCATGTTTTGCCCTGTGACTTCCCCAAAACCCTGGAGAATGAACTCGTGTGGGAGCCACTGCCTTGAATTGTAGATGAAAAGGTATAATTTTGCCTCGGAAAATACTGTAGGGCTTAAGTAGAATTTTTGAGGTACTTGGTACTTTCGTTTTTAGGCTACTTAATATTTATACGTATCTCAACTACCATTTAGAAAAAAAAAAGGGGAAACAATGAATGTGAATTATGCCCTCTTGAATTATATAAAAAGAGCCTATTTTATTTAGGAAGAAGATGATAACAACATTTATAACCAAATGGGAAACTCCCGATTAATCATTTAATATTAGTAAAAATCCCCTTCCCCTCAAGTAGCTACATTAAAATGCATCCCGTATGGTATGGGTGCTATTGATATAGTTGTATATTAGTTTGGTACAGTGC